TGGTCCATTGATTGGTCCATCTCTAAGTATTAGAACAGAATAGAGACTCTCCTTACTTCTATCTTCTGATATAGAATTTTAACTCCTTCTTTAGAACTTAAAGAGATTTAAAATATTAGACCCTGATAATCCTTGGTGGCAGATTTGGCTACCATCAAAGATCAACTACCTTTCCCCAACATATTCTCCATCTCTCATTTTTGGGAGACTTTACAGAGGAAGAAGTTGGTGGAGCCATGTGTACAGTATTCCTCTGAATTCATCCTTAGCAGACCGAAGGCTGTCAGTTTTCTGAGTACATTTGATGTTTGGTTTGGTTTCCTGAACTTGTTCACCTGATTCCTGACATCTGGAAATGTGACTTTAATTGCTCCAGGAAGAATGTTACATTATATACTAAAATCCTGGTTTATGGATATTTATATTTATATGTGATGCCATAGAGTTTATCTGGCCATATGCCAGAAAGTTAAACAGGAGAAGGCTCATACTTGTGATAGGAAGAACAAGGTGATTTTTTTTTTTATATGTAAGAACATATGAAAACTAAGATAGAACATTCCAGCAATTGATGCCAAGTGTATTGTACACACTCTTTACTCTTCTTTTAATTTGCCCAGCTCTAGATAGCAATCCTAGCTCATTGTGGGTGATCTCAAAAAGCTAAACAAGGTTGGATTTTGACAGATGGGAGAACAACAGGAAATGCCCCTTCTGTAGGCTAGTTTGTGCTGGTTGGCTAGTGTTTAAGGTGCTGGACTAGAACAATCCAGATTCAGTTCTATCCTGAAAAGTCACTAAAGTTGGGATCAGTCGCTCTTTTGCATTCTAACCTACCTCAAAAATTGCAGCTATAGGAATAACATGAAAGGAGATCCCTTTGTAAAAGGCGGGATATAAATCTAGCAAATAAATACATAAATAGACTGGTAGTGGGGGAAAAAAATCATTCCAGAAGACAGTGGCAAACCACTTCTGCACTGTTACTGAATAAACAGCCTGGCTGTATTCAGGAAGTCACCAGGAGACAAGATCAGTTTGAAGGAGAAGTTACATATTGTCTTGATTCAGAGCCTCAATTTTAAAAACGCTACCTTTCCCAAGCAGTCCTTTATGCTTTCAGACGCAGGTATAAATTGCTTTTCAAATAAAAGAATCCATTATTTTAAAAAATTTCCTCCCCCTACCATTAAAATATGGTAGCAAAAATGTTTCCTTATGCCTCTGCAGTGTTCATTCCTTTCAGAGTCTTAGCACAATGTCCGGGATGCAAATGATCCTTGGCCACTGCCAAGGTCATGTAGGAGGTTTGTTTGTTTGTTGGTTTGTTTACTATCCTTCTTTGCCAGCCATTCCTGGAGGCTGGAGGCAGCTAACCACAAACAATTTAAAACAAATAAGCCATGAATGATGGATATTATAAAGCACCCTTCTCCTGCGCCAGCTGAAAGAGAAAAGTTTTTACAAGTTACTGGAAGCACAGGAGGGATGAAATGGGCCAAAGTCCAGCAATGGAGAAAGCTTGCCTCCAGGGCCCCATCAGATGATAGTCCTGCAGGGATGGGACCTGCATATACTGTACTTGACTATGTGAGATCTAGTTGGATGGGTAGATGAACCTCAGAGGAAGCAATTTCTCAGATAACTAGGACTAGGGCCATGACAACCAGCACCTGGAATCGCAGTGGGAAGCCCACTGGCAAGCAGTGGAGCCCTCAAAGCATCAGAATCACCTAAGTATATTGGGGCATACCCATCACTGCCTGGGCCGCCACATTCTCTACCAGCTGCAGCTTCTGGATGACATACAGGAGAGAAGAAATAATTGAAGAAGCATGCAAGAAGGAAAAGAAGGAGACTGCTGAGCAAGCAATGAGAGGGAGAAGAGAGACGGTCTACATGAATTGGGTGTCAAGGCTGTGGGAGGTCAGATAACAGGTCCAGCCAAAGCCCTGGCCAGAGAACACTAGATGCAAAGCCTGGAGAAGGTTGAGATCATTTACTATTGCCTCCTCTAGTTACTCATGGCTAACTTTTAGGAGTTAGCTGTAGGGATATATTTGAATGAAATAGTAACATTGTTCTGCCCTAGTGCCATTTCCCTTATGAGATCAGTGCCTCCTCACTGATTTTCTTAGCAGTTTTTTCCCCATTTAACCTGGTTCTAAATAAAACATTTCCTATCATGTGTTTTACTTACTTAATACACAGGCATCACCCATAACCTTTTGCACAGAGGAAGGGACTTCAGGAATGGGAAGCAGAGGGATTCCCCAGAGAGGGGAACCATTACTGATAACGACTGCCAGTAGTGAAGTTGGCCTCTATAAACATCACCAAGCTGGTTTCAAGGAGAGAATTGCATTTTGTCTTATTCTTACCCAATTCGCAGGAAAAGTGTGAATGTTTTTACTAGGCTTGGGTGAAGCAGCTTAAGTTCATCTTGACAAAGAACCTCATGCTGTGAATGTCACACAACACTCTTCATCGAGGTGAAGAGTTGTAAGGCCTCACTTTGATTTTCCCCAAAGCTATTCCTGAGGTGGTGTCTGCTCATTTAAGAAGCCCTGACAGATGTGTTTGGTATCAGTATTTCATTTCATTTTTTTTTTTTTTTGTATCCAAAAAGCAAAGTTCACTATGAACTCTTAGGGTTTCTCATATCCTTTGGAAATCACATCCAAGGAGTGGAAATCTATTTTATCTGTCAGTTTTTAAATTTCCAGTCATACCTGTGTAAAAACTGAATGCATAAATCAATATATTTTTTCTTTATTTTACTTCAAGGAAGCTATATCTTGTTCTCTTGTAAAGAAAAGTAACTCGGATTTATCTCTTTAAAAGCCAAGTGGCCTTCTGCTCCCCTCCTCTCCACAGCTTTTCCAGATGTTAAAAGTCCAAGTGTACAGTATGTTGATTCTCAGCAATCCCTTTCTGCTAGATTCCCAAAGTTAATTAGACCAGTAATTTGTTATCCTTGCTCTCCACACTGGTATAACTTGGGGCTTCAGAGGCAGATTTCTCTAAGTTCCATGGTCTTATATTGCCTTTTTTTGGTCATTTCATGATAATTCAGAATTTTAAAAGCTGCTGTCTGACATTTCTGAAACTAACAAGTTTCACAAAGCTGGTCAGCATAATAATCCTTGAGGACTTGCCATTGTTGGCACTGGCTTTGTTAAATTGGTAATTATTTGTATTGTAATTGTGTTCATGGATTGATCTGTACAAATAAAATAAACTATCAGAGGAAGCATGTAAAAAGCAGGACAGTTTAATTTCAAATTAATATTTGAGCAGCTACTAAAGTATAATACTGTAGAGGATAGAGAGGATGGCCTTGACAGAAAGAGGGAAGATCTGTTACCAAGGGAACAAACAGATAAATGTGGCTTAAATCCATAAAAAAATAGAGTTTAATGAAAAACCCAAATCAAGTCCCCCCCCCCCCAATTCACATGAAGATAAAAGAGGGAACAAGGAAATCACATTCAGACATGCAAGATTCTGGTACTGTAACCATTCTAATAAAAGTAGTTTTACTCCACATTTTCATAGTTAGTCATAATTCTATGTTTTCTTTTTTTTACCTTTTCCTTCTTTTTCCTTCTTCTTTTTCTTCTTTTTCTGTAAGTTCTTCTCATTTCTGATGAATTTCTTCTGACAAATTTCTTTGACTGTTATGATAACTTAGAAAGCCACTTGGATTTTTTTCTCCTTGAAATTTTGAGAATATTTTTTTCCATTTCAGTTTTCACTTATGTTTCTTGCCACTTCCCATTACTTCTCAGGTTCTCTTTCATTTCTTTTTCTGTAAGTTCTTCTCATTTCTGATGAATTTCTTCTGACAAATTTCTTTGACTGTTATGATAACTTAGAAAGCCACTTGGATTTTTTTCTCCTTGAAATTTTGAGAATATTTTTTTCCATTTCAGTTTTCACTTATGTTTCTTGCCACTTCCCATTACTTCTCAGGTTCTCTTTCATGTAGGTTTGTGTGTGTGTGTGTGTGTGTACCTTTGAGCCAGTTTTCAACTCCTGGCAACTGCCTGGACAAGTCCCTGCAATTTTCTTGGCAAGATTTCAGAAGTGGTTTGAAATTGCCTCCTTCCTAGGGCTGAGAGAGAGTGACTGGCCCAGGGTCACCCAGCTGGCTTTGTGCCCAAGGCAGGACTAGAACTCACAATCTCCCAGTTTCTAGCTTGATGCCTTAACCACTACACCAAACTGGCTCTCTTTTTATAGCTAACTCTTTTAAATTATAGCTATTATAAGTATATTATATATGATATTAGAATTATAGCGAACTCTTTTAAATTAACATCTTTCTTATCTGCCCCTGTGCTGCCCCCTTGTGATTCTGGGTAAGCACTGTGAAATCTGATAAAATCTTGATAGTCTCAATTTGATTACTGTTTTTTCTTCTTTTTTTTCTTCTTTTGCTAGATTCCTCAAATAGCCTACAAGCATAGTTCCTGGTCATGCCTTTCCTATCTTTTCATTAAGATTGTGTTTGCTGTTGTCACTAATACTTTCTGATCGTCAAGAGTAATTTTCTTACTGGTGGATTTTTTTTCTTCCTGCAGGATCTGGGAATCTCCTCTTCTCTTGGCTGCCAAGGAGAACAACATCCAGGCTCTCAGGAAATTAATCCAAGATGGTTCTTGTGACATTTATCAAAGAGGTAGTTAAACCTATTCTGAAGAGAGAATTTTCTTGGACTAGCAAGTGCTGCATGAAAATTAAATGCATTGATCTATCCATTTTTGAATCCTCTGTAGTGCACCTGTGCAGATGCATGCAGGTGTCGTTCTTCTTTCACATTATGTTGTTGATATATAGTTCATTCTGTTAAGAATTTTACTGCGAATTCACCATATTCTGTCTATGTCACTTGGTGTGTTATGCAAATATACACATTTCTCTGTCTGTCCTTAGCCTGACACCACTCTTCCAACCATACCAGCTGTTGTCAGCAAGAATGTCCCTATTTTGCATATCTGCATATGCATCTTAAATACCAGATAGCATTCTAGAGTTTCAAAGTAATCCATGCACGATTCAGCATTACTTACTTTCCACCATGATATCGTTATTTCTCTGTATTCCAACAATTAGTGCATTATTTTGCAATAGAACTTCTAATAAGAGGATTTATTAGACAATGACATTAGATTAATAGATAAAAGAGTTATTTGCTAGAATGTTAGTGCTCACTTTCCCCCTTTCTGGAGTCAGTATTACCACAAAGAGGTATAGAAATGCATTTTATAAAGCAAGTTTCTTTATAAATAGATCACCTACCTGTTTTCATATTTAATGTTCCCTCTCTGAGAATATGAAATATGAAAATACCCTAAGATGCAAATTATAAAATGCTTCTGTTCTGAAATTCTGGAACCCTGGTATAAAAAGTGTGCACGTGGTGACTGGGGAACTCTGGGAGTTGGTCCACACATCTTAAAGTTGCTGAGGTTGAGAAACACTGCATTACAGATGTACAAAATAGTCCCTCAAGAAACATTCTGGTACAAAATTAATAGTTTGAAACAGGACATTTCTAGATTACTCGGAACAGTAATTCCAGGGTTGGAACATGCTGTGACTGAACATTTTGCAATCCTTTAGTACACACCCAGGTCAGGTAAACACCCATGGGCATACTTATTGCATTTGGATGAGAAGAGAAGGTGGCAAGCAGGATGAATGGTGTTACTGTTCATAGTTGAACTACAGTACTCTGACTTACGGCGGCATAGCAAGATGGAATACCCTTACCTTCACAGAGCTCTACTTCAGTTTTGGGCCTTTTTGCCAAACTCTAAATTTTATATTAAAAGATATTCATGAGTGAGACAAGCCAAACTTTCCTTCCCTTTCATTTTAGACAGGCAGACAGATAGATAGATGTTTTTCAACTTCTCTATCTGCCCAGCTGCACTGGGTCAACATGGTAGATTACAATCGATAACCCTCAATAAAGAGATGTTCATCCTGCAGTTGATTGATTCAGGCTGCTGTTGCTGATAACAGCAGCAACAACATGCTTGTGTATAGGTATCATGTGTATGGAGCAGATGTCTGAATCAACAAGCATGGCTTGTTTGCTAACCGCTCATTCTTAGGTGGCCTTTGTGTTTTTATTATTCTGCACAGGAGCAACTGGGGAGACAGCGCTCCATGTAGCTACTCTCTATGATTGCACAGAAGCTGCTGACTTTCTTCTGGAAGTGGCTCCAGAACTCATCAATGAGAAGATAACATCAGCACTTTATGAAGGTGATCACTATTAAATTAAGGAGCTGAGCTAGGGTTTTTTTAAAAATATTATTTATAATATATAAATTTTAATGTGTATATTGAAGACAAATGCTTATGGTATTGAGAACTCACACTGAAGTGTCCATACCTAACCATGATGCCAAAATGACATGTGATGCAATGTCATGATGCAAGCTCTGCCCTTTTATCCTTGTGTCACATCACCCAAAAATATATTAGGGATGGAGCTTATGATGCAACATTGTAACATGATTTTTTAAACTCCTCCCCTTGCTCTTACTGCAGATACTCATGATCTCAAATCATAATACAGGATAAATGATAATGGGAGCAACATGTTTGAACAGTAATATGCAGTATTATAATGTGTATATTAGGAATTTGGGGACCTAAACTCATAATTCAAGATAGATCACAGAAAAAAACCTGTGTGTATAGTAAGAATAGGAATGTTTTTATCCTTTTTCCTGAATTATTTGCTGCCTGAAAATCTGTATCAAAGCTAAAATTTGCCCCTAAATCTTACATTTTGTAGGAAAGAGCAACTGAATTAGGAAGTGGATTTTCAGTGGGGAGATGATAAAGAAGGAAATGCTTAAAAAACCCTTAGTTCTATTTGAATATCTTTGCCCTTTAGCTATGAATTTAAAAGAGGGGAATCCCAATCATAGGATTCACAGATATGGTTAATGACTTATCTAGTTTAACCAGAGCTTTGACTTTCATTTCAAACTTGAATGCTCATTTGAACTCTTGTATTTGTTCTTGTCAATTAGGAAAGTTTTGCAGAATATGAAATATGTTCTTTCTAAACTCCCTGTTGAAAAACAGATAAAAAATTGTTGGTGGGTTTGTTAGCATTCCCTAACTGAAAACAAGCCAACAATGGGTACAAAGAATGTCCTAATTTGGATTTTTTTTTTAATATGAATTGCAGGAGAAACAGCACTCCACATTGCAGCAGTGAATCAAAATGTACATTTAGTGAAATGCCTGCTGAAGAAGGGGGCTCACATCTCTATTCCTCGAGCTACAGGACACTTCTTCAGGCGTAACTCCTCAAATCCCTTCTATTTTGGTATGATTCCTGACTCCAGAGGGCAGAGATTCTTTGATTAGCAGAAGAAAGTCAGTGCTCCTTAACAGTTCTTTCCCATCTCTCCTGTTGCTGATGGATCTGTCACTGTGGTAAAGAAACCTTAGTAGACCTGTATTATCTGCATATGAGTAAACACAATGGGATGATTCCATACTTAATCATGAATCATGAATCCTGAAGGACCATCTCATCCCTGTCACATCAACCCGTCCCACCCGGTCATGCAGAGAGGTCATGCTACGGACCCCATCTGCAAGAGAATTTCATCTGACGGGTCCAGGAGGCGAGCCTTCTCTGCAGCAGCCCCTGCCCTTTGGAACACCCTTCCCTCAGAAGTGAGGTTGGCCCCCTCCCTCTCAGACTTCAGAAAG